CAAGCAATAGGAACGTGAATCAAGACATCACAACAAAGGTCACCTAAACATGCATTAGGCTAAGTGAATCAAGACGTCACAATAAAGGTCACCTAAACATGCATTAGGGAAAAGTGAATCACTACGCTAAAACTGGTTTTAGACAGCGCCCTTTAGGCAGCGCTTTTTTCCCAAAGCGCTGCTATAAGTTCAAAAAAAATTAAAATTGAGAAAAAGCGCTACTGTAGAAAATGCTTCTTAAAAGCGTTGCTATAGGCCTTTTAGGTAGCACTGGATAGACAACGGTTTTATACAAAAGTGCTGTTATAAGTTCAAAATAAAAAATAAAAAAATAAAATTTTAAGAAAAGCGCTGCTATAGGCCAATTTTATGAAAGTGCTGCTAAAGAAAATTTTTATGAAAGCGCTGCTAAAGGCGAAATTATTTATAAAGTGCTGCCTAAAGGCAGTACATAAGGCAACACTTTAGAAATTATTCTTTTGAATCAAATAGAGATTTCAACCATGGTATGGGTTTCTAACTTATGATTTATTTTAATATTTAACACATTTCATCTAATTAATTAGTTTTAACTAAATCATATTATGTTATATTATGTAGTACTTTGATGAATAGAAGTCTTCTACTTACTAGAAAGATCAATTGGACGAAATTAAGGAAAATTGGTGTCAATACATAATTGAGATGAGAATTTTATAAGGTATTGTGACACTTTCATTGATGAGAATTTTAAGTATATATAAGTTTGAGTTTTGATGAGATACTATGTCGTCATTAGTGTAGTAAATTGTGTTGCAATATTGTTGTTGTTATGTGGAAGGTTAGTTAGGATGGTATCGGATTTAAATTCAAATAAAGTTTTGTTTGTATCATGGTATGAATTGGGGAATTTTTAATGGTGGATCGTAACGGGTTCTTGATTTGTTTTTGTTACATTAGTTTGTGTTAAATTATAATAGTTATAAGATTTAAGGTCATATAGCTTGATTTTGATATGTCTTTGTTGGTTTTATTTAAAGTAGGTGCATATGTAGAAGATATAGAGATAACAAGTTCATTTAGGATTATTCATTATTGTTGTTTGTAGAGAAGATAGTAGAGAAGATAGCAGCTCTAGAAGATATGTACATTTGGTGCATACTTATTGGATTATAAAGTTGTATATATAAATATTTAAATTCATGTATATATAAATTATTGAATTCTTCAAGTTGTATCCCATTTATGTATATACAAATTATTGGATTAAAGTTGTATATGTAAATATGTAAATTTGGTGCATACTTATTGGATATAAGCTGCAAATTTATGAAATCTGGTACAAATTTGAAAGTAAGCGTTTAAATTTTAAGTGATTATTTGTACAGAGCGCTTAAGATATAAGATGTATATATTAAAAAAATCCGTGAACATTAGACAACACTTTAAATAAAAAAGCGCTGCCTATAGTGGGGAATAAAAAGTGCTTTTAAAGAAAGCGCTGCCTAAAGGGGTGCAATAAAAAGCGCTTATGAAGTAAAAAGCGCTGCCTAAAACAGAAAAAAGTGAATAAAAATATACATTACACATCGTGTAATACGGTGGGAGAACTGACTTGGGTGTTTTGCGTTTTATCGCATTCTTGCAGATAGCAAGAGTCGTCACTGACTTTTCTTTTATCCAATAAAGGAAAGGGTGAAAAGAACGGGAAAGACCTTTCGAGAATTTTTCTTGAGTTCGCGGGATAGTTTATGAAAAGGGAAGGTGTTAGTACCCTTTTCATCTGTATTTATCTACCGGCTCTCAGTTGCTTGCTAGATCACTTTGAAAAATGCTTTGTTTAAAATGTGTTTGTGGTGGGTTTTTGAAAGTATTTTGAAAAACGCCTTTGTTTCAGCAAACTTTATAATGATTATCGTCTCTATAAGAATGTATACAAAGTGTTGGTTTTTGAAAATAGTTCAAAAATATGTTTGTTTTTGAAGATGTTTTGAAATTGTAAGTGTGAAAATGGTTTTGATTTATGAGCAAGAAACTACAAGCGTCCTACCTACTCAAAAGGTCTTTAATCTTTTCATCCTCCTTTAGATGTTACTATATTAACATTGATTGGTAGAAAGCCCCATCATTGGATGTGAAGGGACAGACATGGGTCAATCGTATAGTCATAGGAAGCAACTTATGAGACGTTTTAGAAATTTTCATAAGGGACTAGATTGTTTACCGAAGGCAACATTGAGGGGTCATCGAGGGACTACGATCTTTTTTAATCAAGGGTCTTTTCTAAATCGCCCATATTCGAGGGACACGACTATTTTTTGAGGCAACAAGCGAAGTTACCCTAGAGGTGCTTGTGTGAATTGTGTTTTGATTGCATGCAATTTTTGTCTTTTGAGATTAGGGTTTTCTAACGGTCGATTTTATCTTACCATACACACCCTAATTACTAACAATTATATGAAAATGATAAATTTTTGGAAATTAAAATCCCACGCTATTACATCATTATGGGAGTGGGGGTACAATTTATAAATGGGGATGAAGTATAAACTTAAATATTACAACCATATCGAATAACAATGAAGGAAATGTAAAAACAGTGTAAAAAGAAGGAAAAATTGCATTTTGAACTATTATGTGTCTACACATGCTGTTATGTATCGACACACAACTTTCCTTTCCCCTTCCAAACCAAGTCAACCCAGTATGAGTCGACGCATAATGGTATGTATCCGACTCATTTTGCTTCCTGTTTTTGAAAAATCCCAAATCAATTCAGTATGAGTCGATGCATAATAAGATGTGTCGACTCATGCACCTGTTTGTGTCGACTCATACGCGTTTTGTGTCGACTCATGCACTTTTCATATTTCTGTTTTAGGGTTTGTACAATAGTATGAGTCGATGCATAAGGCCATGCGTTGACTCATACCCTATTTTTTCACTAGAATGGGTCGACTCATGTGGGTATGTGTTGACTCATGCTGTAGTTTTTCGCCTTTATCATCATTCCATTGTATGTACAGGTCAATTTGCATTATATGATTGATAACAAATGAATAGCAAGCAAATGGTTAGCTCAAATGGCCAATGATTACTACATTTTATCTTCAAGAACAAACCATTAGTGATGTATGAGAAATGCAAAGTCAAGAAGACTTACCTTGAGACTGCACTTAGTGTTTTGAGGCTAAATGCTTTTCAAGAAGTTGTGAGGGTCTTTATGAACCTCCAGGAAGTTGTTCTAAGTTGTTTGAACCTTCCTTTGTATTGAAAGTTGATGCAATAATTCCAACACGGTCAAGTTGCACAATGCTGTTTTTTGTTTAGAAGGTGAAAATAAGGGCACTACAAAAGTTATTCTTGTGCTTGAACAATCTCTATGTGGTATGAAGTGTTTGGATGGCTGGTTTATGGGAGAGTTTGTAATATGAACAATGGTTTGAGGGTTTTTTCTGTTTTGTGAATGAAGATAGAACTAAAAATGAGCAAAAGTTACAAGAAAAGTTATGTTAGATTTTTGTTTAAAACTCTCTATTTGTCAAAAGCCCCCTTGTATGTTGTGAGAACAATTTGTTTTATAGATGAAGTTTGGCCGAGGTTTGGAGGGGGGGACAAATAAGCCTTTGAATAGTTTGGGTATGCTGTAACATTGCCTTTTTGGGTGCAACCATTTACATGCTAACTTGGTGCAGCCATGAGACTGGTATGATGCAGATTTTCAGGGCATCATTGCAGGTTTTGAAGCAGACTTTGACAACATAGCAGGGTTGTTTTTATGGATTTGAGTCAAAGAGAAAAGTTCAAACAAAACAAGACTTTAAGATTTGTAACTTAACAATTCTAACTTTAAAAAAATACAGTCTTGTAATAACTTGAATATCTTAAATTATTTTGAACTGTAGTGGAGAAAGATGTCACGAGGTAATTAATCATGTATAGAAAATACTTAGAGCAATTTTCCAAGTCTTGCGAAGTTTGATTTCTTTTGACCTTCTTGATTTTTGATGATCAAATTTCATGTTTTGAATACCTTGATGAAATGTGATTTTCGAAACTCAAATTTGACCAAAAAGTCAAAGTTTAACTTTTCAGTGTACAGTTGACTTTTTCATCAGTTGGCCAAATTTCATCTATCAATCCACTGATTTCGGGAGATGAATTGAAATATACAATTAGGTCAAAAATGATGTACTTGAACCCTTGAGATCATATTTCGAACCAATAATTCATGTACTAGATCAACAATCAAAGATTTGTCACTCTCAGTCAAAACCCTAATTTGTAGTCCCAGCGCTTCGGAGATGATTTTGTCTGATCAATTCCTTGAGAATTCTTGAAAAAGAGAGGGCAAATCTTGGGGTACAACACAACGCTTATAAAAGCGCTATCTAAAGTTAAAGCGTTGCTAAAGGCTTACATTAGAAAGCACTTCTAATTTAAAAAACGCTGCCTTAAGAGCCTTTAGAGAGTGATTTTAAAGAAAGTGCTGCCTAAAATAGAAAAAAGTGAACAAAAATATACATTACACGACATTTTTAAAAGCGTTGTCTAAAGTGAAAGCGCTGCTAAAGGCTTACTTTAGAAAGTGTTTCTAACGTAAAAAACATTGCCTATAGGGGCCTTTAGAGAGTGCTTATTGAATAAAGCGCCGCCTAAAGACTACATTAAGCAGCGCTTGCATTGACAAAAAGTGTTGTCTTTACTTACTGTAGTGCAGGAATAGGCAGCGCTTTTAAGCACTGTCTATGGAAAAAAAGCATTGACTATTCCCTTATATGGCGTAGTGAATCAAGACATCACAACAAGCATTGGACATGAATCAAAAAGAAAATGAACAAACATCACAACAAATATTGAACCTGAATCAAACAGAGAGTGAACAAGCATCACAAACAATGAACCTGAATCAAACAGAAAGTGAACAACCATCACAAATAATGAACCTGAATCAATCGGAAAGTGAACATGCTCTAGAAGTATCAACACTCATCATCACAGACTAATTCCTAGCTACACAAATGCAGAGCCTACACAGGTAGGACTTCAGATGCAACTACGCTATATGCTTCTAACAATCAATAAAAGCCTAACATGATGCTTGAAAGAGAGATAAAAGAGATACAAGTGGTATCTAACGGAGAAGGCTCGTTGCCTCCTCAAAACCACACAAGCGATAAGAAAACTCTACACCAAGCTTCCTTGAATTTCCTTGATGAGGATTATGCTCTTAGCTCGCTTCGAAGCTTCTTGAGCTTCTCAACCAAGTCCCTTGTATTAAAAAAATATCATATAAAAATTAATTGTACAGAAACACAAGCAAGAAGTTTTACACAAAAGGATAAAACAGGGGTGTAGAGTTTTGGCCCAGGGGTATGCTGAAGCAACCCAGGCACAGGCCCAACATTTTAGGTCCAATTGGCAATTTTTTGTCTAAAGAAATTGGGCTACCAGAAAAAAAGCCACTCAGGCCCATAGGATGTATGGCTCGATCCACCAAATTAACATCACCATATTCATCTAACTTTTTACAACATTATTCATTATTATTAACAATTAATAAAAAGTAGTGAAACAAATTGAAGGAGAGAGTGAGAAGAGCAGAACAATGACATTTTGTGTTGGCTAGGGTTCCCAAATTTGTGGTTGTACAGCTTCTTTGTAAGCTCTTCTTCCTCTTCACAGAAAAAATCGTGTCGCTTCAACCCCCTTCTTCTCAATCTGCGGCGATGCTCTTCGTTTTCATCGATACACAACGGCGACTACATCCTTCGTTTTCATTTCTCAGTCCGTTTCAATCTCTTCTAACTCTCTCAATTCAGCCGTTAGCGACACGCTCCGCCACGACCACACAGCCGCTTCTCATCTTGCCTTCATTGATTCAACTCACTTTCTCGAAAATCCACCCCAATTGTGAATGGAAATTCTTGATTGTGGATTCTTGATGATGGTGATGAAGATTAGCAGCGATAATATTGTTCGATTCAAGGTGGTGTTGAAGATGATGAAGGTTGTTGTGGTGATGATCAACAGGTGAAGAAGCTTTGATGATCTTAAGATTGAAAGTTCAGGGAAAGATGAAGATTGAAGATGATTTTTTCATTGAGATTGAAGGATCGTTTGATGAGTCTTATATGAGTTTTTTTGTGATTTTTCTCTGATTTTTGAATAGTGAATCGTGAATGAATCCTCCCCCCAATTGTGAATGGAAATTCTATTATAAGGTTGTTGAAGAGTTTGTTACATATGGAACTTTCTTGGCCTTTGGATTAGAAAATCAGTTAGAGAGATAGATGGTGAGATTGATTCTGATAATAGCTGTTATGAGTTAGTTATTCTGTTTCCTTGATTTTTGTCACGTTTTCTTCTGATTTCTGTTTCCACGATTTCCCTATTTTCTGGTTTATATTTTCCTAAAGCAATAATTCAGCTTCAATTTATTTCCTTTTATTCCTTCTGTTTTGGAATGTTTGTTGTTTATGTGATGTGCAGGAATTGGTTATGCTTAGCTTGAATCATGGCAAAACTGATGTGAGTATAAAGCCTTGGCAATATTGTGTGCAGCAGGTTTGGTTTTGTGTTATGCTGCAGGGAATTGTTTGTTTTAAGTGATGTTTGGACTGTTTTTAGCAAGGTCTTGGTTTGGACATTGAGAAGAAAAATGAAGATGTATGAAGAATGAGTAGTGTGCTAGGATTAAGATAGTAGGTTTTGTAATTTTTTGACGTATTGGTGAATTTGTAATGGAAATGATTTTGTAATGACTTCATGATTATTGTAATGAACATGAGATTTTGTATGTTGAATCTTGTTTTGAAATGATGTATAGAACTTGAATGGATCATCTTGATATTATGGTAGTTTTTTTGAATGAGCATTGAGTGAAACTTGCAATTTTGGAATTACCTTGAATAATGTTTGAATAACATCGAACTATGCCTTGAATCTTAAATGAATAACAATCTTGCATCGCTTGAATTTTGGATGATGAATGTACTTGAACTATTGAATGAGTTTTCGATTTGATTCTAAATTATTATTATAAAGAATGAATGAAATTTGAATCAAGATGTATGCCTTTCATAATTCCACAACAATTGAAATCCAATTACATGCTCGAATCTCACATCCATAATGCCTTGTACTTGAAACAATTTTGTCATACAAAACCTTGGCTTGATGTACAAAAAGACAAACTAATCCAATACTTGCACAAACCATGATTCCTGCCTTATAAATAAAAAAAAAATCTTGAATTGACTACCTTGAAAATATAGAATAAGAGAATTCCATGCTACAATGCCTTGCAATTTGAGTAACCATAACGGGATTTTTTGTCTCCTCCAGCCTTTTAATACTTTCAAAGAAGGAGCAAGAAGGAATTAGAAGAGGAATCAGAAAGAACAGAAAAGAGAAACAAGAAAATTCACGGAACGGACGGTAACCCCTAATACATAGCTTTTAGGGTTTGATTAAATTGTTGTGGTTGATATTTGAACTCTGTTAATTGTATGATTTTTGGTTCGATTTGTGTTTCTGGACTTGGTTTAGGGTTATGGTAGAACATCTTAGGGTTTGTTGATTAGGGTTAGGGTTAGGATATTGGAGTTATCAAAGGACATTGGAGAAATAGCAATATCAATTATCATTGTCATTTTCAAATTTTGTTAAACTTTCTGTAATTACCTCTTTTTAGGAATTAAATATTGTACTCTCGCCTGTTCAAAGGCGCTTTCATTAATAAAAATAATTTGTTTTTCAAATTCTATTTTCAATTGTATTTTTCTTTTCCTGACTTGTTTACAAAATACTACGAATATTTCTTATAAACACTACATCGAAATTATTTTGGGGATTTGACAAACAAATAAAAGCATTTGGTAAAACATTAAAAAATATTTTGGTTAGAAAAAACATCAAAGGAAAATCCAAGTCTATGTCCACGTCTACGCTTGCGCCTGCGATACAATTGCCATCATCAAAATTGACTTTGTTCACCGTGACATATTAAAATTCAAATCAACTTAGAGACACCACGAAGAAACAACAAACAACGTTGGGGAGTTGGTGACTTAGAGAACCCAATGGTTTAAAAAGGAGAAAACTATCGAAAACATTTACGAAACACTTGGTGCACGTACATACAAAACATTTGGTGCATATACAACACTTGGGTATCATATTAATTCATGGCATTATGCATATGCATTATACATTGCGTTTTCAAATCTACTTTGGTCAAGAATACTACGAACTATCTTGGGGACTATTACTAGCTAACTTATATGTGCAAACCAAAACTTCAAACCTTAGCATTATTCAATAAATACCTTGGTTGAGAACAAACACAACTGGTATATCTGCGATTTACATCTTTGGTTTAGTTCAAACATCAAATTCGTATTGTTTATCCCCTAGGTCGTGATAAATATGCAAATTTGTGATATAGCTTACTATGTTAGTCTCGAAGCTTTAGTAAGTTATCTATTATCAAACACGCGTTATCTACCCCTTAGGTTGCGGTAGGTATGCGAAGATCTGTGACACAATTCATTATATCAGTCTTAAAGCAACAGTGAATTATCAAGTGTATGATATTTATCCTCTAGGTCTTGATAAATATGAAAATATGCGATATACCTTAATATGTTAGTCTTAAAGCGTTATTAAGATATTTTCAACTCGTATCATTTACTTCCTAGGTTTTAGTAGATATACGAAATTTGCAATTTAACTCGTTGCATTAGTCTCGAAGCACCAATAACTTATTCATTCTTTTCTCTATGATATAGTTCATTTTGTTAGTCCTCAGGCAACAATGAGCTATTGAAACTTTGTATTATTCATTCCCTAGGTCGTGATGAATAGACAATCTGCATTGTAAGCTTACTATGTTAGTCTCGAAGCGTTAGTAAGTCGACTTTCAAACTGGTGTTATTTACCCCTAGGTCGTGGTAAATACGTCATAATTACGATGTAGCTTGTTGCATCACTCTCAAAGCAGCAACAAGCTATCTATTTTCAAATTTGTGTTATTTATCTCCAAGGTTACGGTAAATACACAAAATCTACGACTACTTTTTCTAGGTGCTGACGGGTCACCTGCATCGTCATATCTAGGTCAATTATACTCTTTGCCCAGACATGGGTGAGTTAACTGCATCACTATTGTCTATCTATCTATCTTTTGGGGTTTATTTTTTCATATCTTTTCAAGTCTGCGGTCAAATTTTATGGTCTTCCATTATTTAATAACCCTCTGATCTGAATTGTGCGAGACCTTCGTATTCTCGCATCCTCAATCGAAGAGCAATTAAATAGGGGCAGCTGTCATATCTCAAATTTTCCCTACTGATATTAATGAATAGTTCACTATAATTAATCATTTTTATATTATTGTTGGTGTTATTATATTTTGGCTTTATTAACTTATATTTGCGTAAATTGTTAATTCTAAATTATTGTTATGAAGGGTGTGTGTTTATTATTTTTAAAGGGGTGTGATCAACAATCTAAAAAAAGAGTTTATTATCTCATTCTTATTTGAAGGGCCCATTAGGTGTATATCTAAGAAGGTTGACCGAGGTCAACATCTAATTTTCTTTTAATTAATATATTATTATTATCATTTTTGTTACTGTTAAAAATATTATATATTGTTATTATTATTATCTAACTTTTATTATTATATTATTCAATATTACCCTGATATATTTAGGTTGATCGGGAGTCAACACTTCATATAATTATTTGATTATTATTATTTTTTATTTATTTGTTATTTTTTATCAATTATGAGATGATTTTGACCATGTCGGAATTAGGGTTTTTAACCCTAAAAGATGCACCCTTTTGGATCCCTTTCTTTCTAAGTAAACAAGAGCCCATGATTTTATTTCTGGATCAAATCTACAGACAAATCAAGTTGAATCTAGAATTTTATTTGATTTCGTTTTGAATCTCATACACGATATCATGTCCAGATACTTACAACAAATAATTTTGGGGATTTGACAAACAAATAAAAGCATTTGGTAAAACATCAAAAAGTATTTTGATTAAAAAAAATGTCAAAGGAAACCCAGAGTTGGTTTTGGGCTCTTGTACAAAATCCAATAGAGGAGTGTGTTGTACCCCAAAATTTTCCCTCTCATTTTTTATAGAAGACACAACCCTAGGGTTTTTCAGATATTCAAGATTGGCTCAGGAATCGATCAGACCGATTTTCTTCTGTGGAAGTAAACCAACAATTAGGGTTTTTCTTGCAATTCTCAAAAGAAATGAATTCTCAAAGATCCAATTGGATTTCACATGTTTTCATGCTTTTTCAAGTTTACTGAAAGGTTAATGTTTGTTCTCAAGGCATGTTTGTTTGGGACAAGAGATAGAATTTAAGACTGTCATGCAAGATACTCATGATTGTTTAATCCAGGTTAACCAGATGATTTGCGTCTTTTAAAACATTTCCTTGTTTATGAAATGGAATAGACAGTGCGTGTTTGTTTGGAATGCAGTTGCAAGATTACAGAGTTATTGGAATTTAAGTCATCTTGATTGGAATTATTGGAGCATTTTGTTTCAATTATCTTGATTGGGCATTCAAAAATCAAATAGGATGCAAAGAGAAGATTACAAGTTATTGTTGATCAAAGATTTCAATGGACACCAGAATATCTCATAAGACTTTCTCTATTTATTTCAAAAGTTGTTACAAAACAATTTATTATTTAAATACTTTAGGTTTTATAACTTATTGTATTTAAAAAATAAATTAGTACGATTGTTGAATGTTTCTCTCTAAATTACAAAGGAAATGAATCTATGCCTAAGGTTGACTGTGCTTCCTTTGCTTCCATGCTTGCCACAGAGTCTCTTGCTTCCCCTGCTTTGCCACCATCCAGTTGTGCTCACATGAAAACAAAAGACAGAAAAATAGTTAGTACAAATTAATTGGACATGAGCAAGAATTTTCAAAAGAAAAAGTGTTCATCATTAAAGTTTGCAATTTGGAATCAGAAGACTATATTTAATTCATCACATTTTTATTTTCTCTATTTGCAAATCACAAGAAGATTATTCTTCTTGGTTCACAAAAAGGAAAAATAAGAAATGCAAGCAAGTTGTCCAAACAAGCAAGAAATGCAAGCAAGCTACACAAGCTAGGCAACAAACAACGAAACTGTCCAAACAAGTAAAATATCCCAAACAGCAGCTCATCACCAAGCTAGGAAACAAACAACCAAGTTGTCCAAACAAGTAAAATGTGCAAACAGCAACGCATCACCAAACAAATATTGCAAACCGAGCCAAACAACAGCAAAAAGAAAATGCAAACGAGGCAACAACAAACAGCATAAAGAAGACAACATCAACAAAAAGAAAATATAGCAATATGATAAACTAAGTCAACAAGCAAGAGGCTTGTTCAATAAGCCAAATCATCATTTTCCAGTTATTTGCAAACTTTTCAGAAAAAGGCAAAAGAGCAATTGACTCTTAGGGTCATTGAGAGAGAAGAGAGGAAAGAAGTCACCTAGGGATGCACAGCCCTGCTTCCCTGCTGTCACAATTGCATAAGAGTTGCTAGAAAACAAAAACTGCAAGAAAAAGAGCATAAGAATAATATGCCAAAGTATTCAAAATATGATGGTTTCCCCCCCTTTTTGAATAAGCGGTCAAACCAAAGCAACCTGAATATAACAGTGAAATTCTCAAGCAAAAGGAGGAGAAAAAAAATTATCAAACTCAGAAAACCAAAAGAACCTCAAAAGCCTCCAAGCATCAAAACCTGCTGAAACATACAAACCAAAACCCCCAACTGTCAAACAGTTCAAAAACAAAATGGCGTCAAACCATCTTCCATCAAACCTGTTAACTC